TTACTATTTTAAAAACTCTAAGTTTACAGATTTGGCGATTATTTATAATATTGCAAATTTGAGATTTTGCAAATATTCGAAAACGTTCGTCCATTACAAAGTTCAATATTCTAAAATTTAGAAAAATTTTTTAAATTTCGAAATAAATTGGCATTTTGAATTTCTAAAAATTTCTTGAAGCTTCTTTACGTTCCATCTTTCCTCTATTGAATCTGCTCTCTATCGAAAGAGCTCTTTGCTCTTAAATATCCTATCCGAAATAATCCGCTCATACTATCGGGCAGCCCTTCCAGTTCATGAAATATGTATTAAAAGTGACGCGAGTATACAAATTAACTCGGCTGCCTCAATTTAAAAAGAGAAACGCGGGGACGACGTATCTCATTTGGTTGACGGTGTCGTCGCATTCCCCACGGAAACGCCTCGCTCGAAAACTTTCCCGAAGAATCTGACGTAGCGACACCTAATGCATCTTGACGCGCGTTTCGCGAGGAAAATGCAGAAAAACTGCAAACACTGAATGTCGACAAATTCAACCTTCAGATAGCAAGAATGTATAGCTATGCTTTGTGATGAAAAAAAATCAGATTGGCAAATGACAATGATTTTATTGAGATTACAGACAAATGTCAGCCGTTTTTAAAATAACTTTTGTTGGTTGTAAATTATGTGAGAGTATTAGCATTAATAAAAAGTGTATTAAATTTTGATTCAGTGATACGAAAATCTCTCTTTGAATATTTTAAGCTTGCATGAGATATCTATTTCAATTTTTTTATGCAATCAACATTGTAAAACCAAAAATTGGACTCGTTGTTTTTTTTATTATTTCTGTATTTAATTCTCTAAATTTAATAAACTGATATTAAAAATCCTGAGAACTATTAAAGTTATATATAGATATAGAATAATTCTTGAAATTTAAGTAATTAATATGATAATTCACATGTATATAAATTTGAAAATATTTAAAATACACACACACACACACACATAATTCATAATTATAAGTAAAATTCGTAAAAACATGCTACATCACATACAATTCAATTCAATCGATATTCTAGAATAAGTCTCTCTATTAACTTTAAAATGGTTAGATTAATATCGCCTATTTTTATTTTTGAAACACTCGTGACAAACATCTCAACGACAAAGTATTCTTTTTAAAGAGTTTCTCTTTAAACTCATTTTGTCCCATAATTACAAGATTACCATTAGAAACAATGTTGCTTTGCTGCCGACATACTTGACATTCAAATAAATTACAAAACCGAAAGGCTTTAAACATGAAGTAATATGTGCGTGTCGAGAGAGAAACTTTGATGAAATACGAAAAGACTTTCTGCAGTTTTAGAAACGTATGAATAAATCATTTTAGTCGCGCGGCGAGCATCTAGCAGAAACTAACGTAATAATATCCGATCTTTCTTTTCACTCCCTTATGCAAATCGGAATTAAAAATCGATTGAAAGAGAGATAAAAATTTTTTAAATTTTAATTCATTAAATATGCCACCTATAAATTTATACGTGTCTATTTCAATATTTAATTTTTTATATATTTACAAAAGTGTGTCAAAAATCAAAGTTTCTACCGTGAAATCAAAAGGTTCTAACGTTACAAACGTTATCCCTCATATCGGAAAACGAAAGCAAATAAGCAAGATGTAATAAGCTTCGAAAGCCAATAATCAACAATTGCTCGTTCACTCGCGAAATCGCGGGACGATATTAAGGCTTCCCGCATTTTTCGTTTCATTGGCCCTGCAAATTCGATTCTGTGACTCTTGTCGAGATTTTCACGATAGAGTCGAGCCATATTTATCGACTAGCCTTCTAATTCTTCGTGTCGGTTCCAATCGCAATTTTAATTAATCTACAATTATTGAAATGCTCGAAGTCACATGGTACGTTCGTTTAATTAGTCGCCGGGGCTTTGCAAATTCTCGATCTCACGGCCCACGTTTCTCTTCCTTTACGATTCGACTAGTCGTAATTACTTCCATTTCACTCTCAATGTTAAATAAAACACACTCGGCGTCATTTAGTCGCGCGCGAGTTAAATGCGAGTAAAACTACTATACTGTGTTTTCGCCTGAGTTACTTTCTTGTTGTCGCTGCTTTTGTTGTTGTTGCAAAGACCACACTACGGAGATTTCTCTCTGATAGAGATTCCCGATAGGACGGTAAATATTTAAACGCGAAACGAATCTGACTGCGCTCAAGTTGTCTGACGTTTCGATCACATCGAGCTTTAACGATAGCTTCGAACAAGATTGCCTGAGAAATTAATTTGCGGCAATTTAAACCGAATCAACCGTTACAGCAGCATCGATCCGTAAAATCTATAATCGTTACTGGAATTTATAATCGAAGATTATAATAAATCGGAATAATTCATACGTCTCGTATCGTACCTGTTGACAATATAAATGGCTGCGTTCAGCAGGATAATCCGCTTTGCAACTGTTGTAAAATTCGTGAATCTGATCTGGTGTATGCTCTTAGATTCAGCCAAAATTAAGAGCCTATACCAATCAGGCTTACGAATTTTACAACAGTTGTAAAGCAGCTTTTTCTGCTGAACGCAGCCAATGTTTAAAGTCTCTCTCTTGTACAGCGAAAAGTTAAAATTCTAACTACATAAAAGAGATTCGGGAGAAAGGATATTTCGTGCGACAATAAAATGTCCTTAAATAAAGGAACGCTATTACTCCAATTTATCTATAGCAACTTCAATTTCGACGAAGCGATTTATCGGCGAGAAATATACGAGGCTATACGTCTCAAGGAATGACGATGTAATTTTACCGGAAGGAAAGGACTCGTGGAGCGGGTCCACCGCGCATTTTCTTTTCGCATGCAGCGCGTTGTCCCGGTCTTGATGGTCCACGAAATAACGGCTACACGACGATCTCGTTAGAGCCGCGGTGTGTGTAAAATGGGTTAAAAACCCCTCATTTTCACGCCCGAGGGACGAAATTACGCGGTCCGGCATACCCGGTGGCTTTTGTCACCGGGTGATTCAATTGCCACGTTACCAACAAAAGTATATACGTCACTTTGTCCGTGTGTATGTACACACAAAACGACGCTGCTCGACGAAAATTGGAGTAATGTCCGGCTCGCAAAGAGCTGGGGCGCGTGCCTCGTACTCATTCATGTAAAGAAACTCGGAATTATTACGAAATATGCTTGCGCATATTTCTTAATAACCCCCTCCCTCTCCTTCTCCTCCAAATCCTCTTCCCTCTTCACTCGTAAATATGTTTCATTTCAAGCTTCGGGAGGTCGCACGGATATAAAACCTATTAGGGACGGGAAAAAAGATGTAAAGAAGAGCGTTTCGTTGCCGGACATATTATATAATCTCATTAACTTTTTTCAGATAAAGAGTTTTTAGTTTTTTTTCTGTCTTCCTGAGCATCTCTTGTGTTTCTGAAAATATGCGAGCGCGAAACGAGACGAATGGCTTGGGTTTGCGCGAAATGACTTTGGCGTATCTATTTAAATATCTTCACGTTTGTATCTTATTCATCAAGTTTAACCTCAAAGATATTTTTAAAAATATACGCAATGTCATTTAAAACGATTTTTCTTATATCTTTATATACTGATAATTAATTTAATAGCGTTAAGAGACTAGTAATACGAGTAGACAGAAACAATAGATGGAATTAGGTAGCGAGTAATACTGTTTTCGAAGTGCGCGCAACACAATCAATGGAGTAATAATTTCCCATCACAGAACCAACTGTTAACAAGACCGATAAATTTATTCAACGCGCACACTTCGACACATTGCGAGATTCAATCATGTTAAAATGATCGCGTATTCAGTGATCGTTAATGCTCCCATATTTAGAGCATGGCGACTCGTGTCTTCGACATTCTGACATGATACAAGTTATATAAATGGTATCTCATACGAATGGCATGTACCTTAAACATGATTTACCTTTCATGTCACTCTATCTTGGAACATACGCGTGCCCGATTTACCTAGTATCCAGTTACGTTTATTTTCATCGACATTCTAACGTTATGATATAGCTCTATTTGATTGCGGTCAGGTTTGATAAATGATCCAACACTTCATAAATCCACCAAAAAGTGCGACGCAACTAATAAAAATACTCCAAACACATAGACGATGGTTCTCCGTTATTTAACTCACCGGAAACGTGTGGCATAGCCAGACCGCAAATTCAATATCGTGTCGGGTAGCGTCGATATGACATAACGATCGATGGTATTTATATTACCGATACATATTGGAAAAAAGTGTTTCGTCCATTTCGCGATTTTCCTTCCGTTTTTCGAATCGTTTGCCGACATTTCTATCAAAAATACGGCGCCTACTCGTATTGATCCCTCGAACGCCGATAGTATTAACAGAAAGTTCTATCTCGAGATTAAGATTGATCGGTCAATCAATCAAGTTCAAAAAGTCTAGACAGAGAGTTTCTATCTCGATTATTAATGTCGGAAAGGTTGAAATAATCGAAACAGTTGTTCGAGATCAACTATGTATTAATAAATAATTTAATATAGTCTCGTTTAACACAATCTAATAACTCTCGTGAGCTGCCAATATCATAATATTGAATACAATTAATTGTATTTAGCTTAGTTGCGTTGTTTTCTCTCAATTTGCTCACAATTTTGTACATGTATTGGTATGAATTGATTCTACAATTGCACTGCGTTTTTTAGGAATACATATCGTACGTGCTAAAATTGAGATGTTACTATGTTTTCTTATTTGGTTATTATAATGTGACACGTCAAACGCAAATTTCTCTGAATATTTAATCACATTTGATTTTAAAGAACGTCTTTTTAATGTCTTTTTTCAATGACAATATGTTGATAAATTAAAAAAAAAAAATGATTAAATCGTTTTCCAACATTAATAACCATATTAAACTTCTCTCGCTCCATCTCCAATTCAATTACACATCGCCCATACAGTAGATTACTTAAACTAGCACTTACCGATTTCCTGATTGGTTATCCTGGCATGGCAGCTGCTGAAAGCGCAGAGTACAAGCGTGAGGAGCGACGCGAGGGATCCAAGAGGGGCGGCCATCTCATCTCGAGGCATCTCGACACCCCGACGTCGCGTCACGTCACGTCACGTTGTGTCGCGTCAACTTGTGTGTCAGCGACACACTCACCCCGCCTCCTTTTTACAGCACTCGTCGTCTTCCGCTCCCTCGTCGTTGACGAAATGCGCGAACCAGGATCCCGGGCACTCTTGAAAGCACTTTCCGCACGACTCAAACTCTCATCGTCGAACTTGCTCTCCGCGAACTCCTCGTCCGCGCGCCCACGGATTTTATCCTCGTCAAACCTTTGAACACACAACCGACATGACACGTTGAAATCATCGATAAATCACGGTCGGCCGCGTTTTAAAAATTTTCTCCTTTTTTTCATTTCTTACTTCGAGGAATCGTATTCCACACGTTCACCTTTATATCGAGAAAATTGAAACGCAGATCATGTAGGAATGTTCTTAATAAATCAAACCTCGCATTTCATATACGAAAATCGTCGCAATAAAATTTATTAGCGGAAGGGCATTGTGAATTTAATAGTTTCTAAGCGACAAAATTAAAATTATTATATAGCGTATTTATATATTATATTAGCGAATATATAAATAAAACATGTATTTTATAACATTTGAGAGAAAAAGAGAGAACATGAAACTTGTGGTTTTATATATATTCTGTATGTATATATTTCTGTATTTATATAGAACAGAGAATTGTAAGTTAAAGAGGGACAGCAAATCACCAACTTGGGGCTAGATAATCCAAAACTGCCGAGCTTTAAGCCATATATCTCAAACAGAGATCAGATTGACCTAGGAATCATATTGCGATATACAGAAAGAGAGAGAGGAGCATCAGGGACAAATAAAATTTTCTTATCTAAAGGGGAAAAAATTAATTCTTAAACATAAACTTGGGTTTTTGTTGCGAAAGGACGATTTCGCAAAATTTGAATTTTCCCGATTTCGCAAAATACATATAAATGCTGCTTTTCAACGTTAGACTAACGTAATCTCCGTTTGCGAAATAATTAATGCATTAATCGTTGGGTGAACAGAGTTAACGCTAGACTGGATGCTTAAGTTTATCAGCTGTGAAACATCATTTATTTTCTAATCCGGAAATTGCACGTTAATGCGCGATAGGGTTGCGATTTCGGAAAATTGCGACCCTTGCAAATGCAACGTGCGAGCTCGCGTTCGCGCAATCCCCTTCTCCCCTCCCTCTCTCCCTCCTGAATTCTATTCTGCTGATTTTCCTTTCTCACCTGCAGCTGTGACACGCATACAATTGCGTACAATCGCAATGGCCGTCGCCGCAGCCGCTCAAACTCTCTCGATAGCTGATGCCGTACATTCGGCGTAATCACGCCACTGTATCCCATCTCCACCCTTCCTCTCTTCCCGTCTTTAAAAAAAACCCCGCGTACTCGCTGTCTCTTCTCTTCTCTCGTTATTGCGAAATGTTTTTCAGCATTCGATTCCCGCAAAAGTCAACGGAGATAGAAGAGAGGAAGGGGAAGGCAAAGAGCGAGGCGAAATATTTCATCCGACAATGCAATTGCTTCCGCCGCGGATATAATTCGACCGACAAAAAATTCGGGTGAAAGAGGAAAAAAAATATATATATCGTTACAGCGCATTCATCGCCTGTGCCAACAGTAGCGTGTGTTTCTTGCCCGAGTTTTTGACGCGCGCGACAGGCCTCGCGCCGATTGTGACACGGTACACGCCGGCCCTTAATATCGCGATATTGTCGTTTAATCGAGTTACATGCCTCAGTTATTATTTTATTTATCGATCGCGCAACAAGTTTATTTCCGGAAACTTTTCGCCGGGTGTTACACTTCAGTTACATCGCGGTTCGCGCGCGTTTATATCGCGTCGCACGATTCTATTACATTTATTTCGATATCAAAGAGAAAGAGAAGGAGAGGAAGAGAGGATGCTCTTTTCAATCGACATGTTACGCCTTAGAAAAAATACCAATGTACTCACAATGTATAACCTGTCGTTATCTAGATAAGTTTCTCTTAAAAACGGAAATAACATGATTTTGGAGGAATAATGAACAAACTTTTTTCACACAAAACAATTAATTGCAACAAAGATTTCCCTGTTTTATGTATTATTTTATGTTTAAGACTTAAACAGATATATTAAAATGAAAATCTAAGATTAAAATCATAAGTAGAAAAATCTTTTATTAATTAAATCTTTTATTAATTAAATCTTTTTTATTAATTAAATCTTTTTTAATCTTTTTTAATCTTTTTTATTAATTAAATCTTTTAATAATTAAATTATCAAAGAACGTTTTCCCAGTGTTTAATTTATAATTTATAACACGCATGTACAATGTACTTATTTGAAAAATTACGCAAAAAATTAAAAAAAATATAAAACCAGCATAAATACAAGACTTTCAAAATTTTTGCATTTTGCAAATATATATATATCCGTTGTAATTACGATGCAATTAAAAATTATAAATAACGAAATAAAAAAAAGTAATCTCGAAACTATCTCCCGTTTCTCCTAACGAATAATACGAAAACTTTCTTATATTTTGCAAAATCAATTTGAAAAATATGCGGGCTACGAATTCAGTTGCATTTTCCAAACGAAGCGTTATGGAGCTGTGTCATCAGTTTAAAACAAAGTTCCGCTGCTACATTAAAAGTAATGTTTTATTATGATTGCATGCAATATTGTTTAAAATTCCATGACACAATTAACAGAAAAAAATTGCAAATACTTCAAATTGAGCGGCTTAATTTGATATTAACAGATGATTATGTCTTTAATTACTTTTCGCGGGCGAGACTCGGAGAAATAAATAATTAATTTTCCCCGCCTATACCATCTGCTCGAGAATCGAACGAAGCAAAAAACAGCATTAATTTTCACGACGAACGAACGAACAAACGAAGCGCGTATCGAAGAATGTGCATTATCCGAGAAAATTGCATTGTAAAATTGTAAAATCGCAAACGGCTCGCATCGGGCCGTTTAATTCGAGACTAATTAACGGTTCAATCATGTCTCGCGCGCGGATATCGCGAGGGACCCAGTATATTACGACTCATTATTCCACATCGTACGAAACATAATGTCTATGTAAAAGAAGTGTCCGGACAATTTCATTCGGGAGTTAAACCGCTAACCGAAAATTTGTGCACCGATACCGCAATATATCCGAACAATTCCCATCGATAGAGGAAAAGGTGGTACGATGAAATTCCATTATGCTTTCGATATTCTATACAGTTTCGATATTGCGTGCATATATGTAATAATATATTAATATCTCTGTAATTTAATTATCCTATGATGTGTAATGTAAAATAAAATTAGAAACGAAAGTTTTTATGAAAATTCTGTTTAAAAAAGAATTGTGAAAAAACTATTTCAAGAATAGATCATTGATAATTAAAAATCCTCCTAAGAAAAAAGAGAGTGCAAATATATACATTTTAATAAAATAATAATTAATATATCGATATATAAATTCAAATATTAGAGGAGGATGTATATTTATTATAATCATTATTATATCGCATAAAAAATAACATGCAGATTAAAATATGGCAATCAATCGGTATTCTAAAAAATCTGCATTTTTCAAGATTATTAAAAAAATACTTCTTATACTTTCTCCGGATAAAACGACAAAAAAATTTTGTTTTTATGGTCCCTGTCTTGGAAATATAACTAAATTATAACAATCTTCCACTAAAAAAATTCATACTTCCACATGAATAGAGAAACTAGTTCAGAGAAAGCCTCTCATAAAATGTTTGAGATTACATTTTCCATTTCTATTGCTAGAGGGAGATCTTACATATATATATAATGTATTATACCTCATTCAAGAGAGGATTACACCTAAAATATTCTTATTGTTAGTAAAATCTCAAACTTACGCGCTTATGTCACGAACGTCCTGAAGACTTTAGCTATTCCTAACATCTTTTCCATTCAGCATTGTGTCGGATTATTAAATCTGAATACCGAAGTATCTAGCGATTCTCTCTCCATCTCTCGCATTTGTCTGACGCAAATTTTCAGAAACATAGCGCGCATATCGAATCTTTCCAAAATAATGCCCCGAATTAATGAACGGTACGTCGATCTAAATCGTGACGCGTATTAGATGCGCAACGATGCAAAATGCCAAGGATTCTTAGAACAGATCGCGGTTAGAATCCCCCGATGATACAGCATAATGTTAGGAATGTAATCGTACACCCGGCCATCAGATTTCCATGCAAATGCATCGACGCATCTATCGGTAGAACTATTTGGTGGTCATTCGCTCGGAGAATCGAGGTTCCAACCATTTTCTGCGTGATCTCCAGACGCTTATAAACGTACCAGACTGACAGTCGACATGAATTTAATGACCATGAGAATTTCATTTCGCTACGTACGCGATATGCATATTATCGTTGCGAATCGCTAAATATTTATCCATCCCGTTTCACATATCTGACCGATACTTCTTATTTATTCCTGTTAATATTTTACTTGAATTGATTTTATCGAGAGATTTAATATGTATTTAACAACCCATCGCAATATTTAACGTTTTAATGGGAGATTATTATAATTTAGTTAATGTATTTCCATAAAAAATATGATGGGAACTGGAATCTTTCGGAATATTTATGTGACACAAGATGCGACACAAATAACACGAATCGGCAAGTTGAATCAATAAAAAAGGTGATGCAAAAATAAATCTAACGGTGGAATATAATATAATAATATATATGGTAGCATATTCATTTAAAGAAAGAACAATGCGTGAAGCAAAAGTATATACATATTTCATGCGAAATAATCTTCGGCTCTTATTACGAAAACGATAAATTTGCATATTTGTAAATTGCTTTTAGAATAAATATCAACCGAGAGATACGAGTATACATATAAAGAATTATAATGTGAAAGGTGATTTATACTTTTTGTTATTTTGTACCTCTTTTTTGCTCTCTAAAATATCGTATTAAAAAGCAAGCTTCAAATAGAAGCAAATGCTTCAAATGTCTCTTACTCGTATTTTCTGACAAAAGCCTTTGATAAATAAAAGGAAAAACGCATTCGCTCCATTTTATTCATATGATTCAATATACATATATATGTAAAGTAAATATATTCCATTTAACGAAATCAATCGTTAATGCAAAGAGAGAGGGATTTGGTATTTGAGTAAAAAATGTATGCGTAGCCCTTTTAATAAAATATTGATCATATTAATACAAAAATATTGTTAATCTTATGGAAATAGCTACATCATCCATGCTCAATTAATACAATTAAAGGTATAAAATATATAAATAAATCTATATATATATATATATCTCTCTCTTATTAATTTATCAAATTTACAGCGTAGAATGAAATCTATAAAAAGTAATTAATAATAAAATATAATCGAAAAGTAACGATATGCTGCCCATAGCAATGTACATACGCGGTGTTTAACTGCTCAAAATATCGAAAGCAATATTTTATGCGGCAAATTATATTTATTTTTTAATTCCTCCAGGAAAAAAGAAACATATATCAACACTTTCTTTGTAAATCTCGTACGATTCGAGTTGTGCATCGTGTTTAAAGGGCATATCTCGCATTTAACAGAGTCATATCCACAATATTCTCGGTAAAACATATCAAACTCGTGTTACCGAGTACTTAGCGGCTTATCTCTCGTTTATATCCATCTAAACGCGACGATGAGGCGAATTCTCGGAAAAATCGGGAGCGCTGAATTTCCTCGAATTTGTCGAAATCACGACGACTAACAATTCAACATTATGTCCCAAGAGACGTACAATTTTTACATCAAGATGTGTCACGCGATTAATATGTCGGGAAATAAATTAGATTCGAAAACGATGCGATAAAAGGAAGAGGGAATTTACGGACGGCTTACATTTCGGGCTCTCTCTTAGCGTGTATTCCCAACAGGTATAATTTCCGACGTGACGTGCCGGCTCTCCTTAACATCGGAATTCTCTTTCATCTATCCCGATTACAATGGAACAAATTGTTTTCGTGACTGGCAACGCGCGGCTTTTTCGAGAAAATTGCCAGTCACAACGAGCGCGAGTGACAAGCACCCAATTTAAGTCCCCGTGTAATATACGTCTATGTAACTGTTCCCCGTGGCATTATCGCGCGTCCGCGATTGATCGTTACGTCGCATGTGAAATCCTGCCGCTCCCAACGAGAAGGATCTATTTCCAAGAAAGGACCGCACGATCCCGCGTGTCGCGCGCTCGCCGAGAGAAAAGTACATGGAAATTTTAACAGAGATTAAAATTCTTACAGCGTCCAACGACACCGCGAGAAATCGCACCAGCGGACGCTCGCGTGTGACGAATGTATGCATATTTGCTCTCGAAATCGCGTGATGATTTATAACGCGTTGGGGAGGGACGCGAGAGGCGTCAAAAAAATAACGTGTGTGCGATGTGTATGATCAAAATTAATTTGCGATCTTATCGTAACGGTAAGTCTCGAGGTATATTACACGCGATACTACTGTGTTACACGATATCACATGTCACGCGTAATGACGTGAATATAGTAAATACGCAATTTTATCGGTAAATATTTTAATGGTGCAAATTACATATTCGCCGTAACGTTCGAAAAAGCTCGAGATGCTACTAGATATTTCCGTGTAAAATATTTTCAAAAAATACTTTCGATATTCCTCGTGCATGATCATTTTTAAGAATTTTTGATAAATTATTTTTGAAGTAATATATGTCATTATTTCGACGTAATGTCACGCCGAATTAATCCAGCTGCCGGATATGATATAAAGTTGTTTTATCTGTACAAAATCACGATTCTGCATCGCTGATTAATCGCAAATAAACATTCATCGAATATACGCTATTGTTTTCTCTACATTCACTCTTTAAATATCTTTTATATTTAAAAAATATATTTTGGCATGTTTTTCATTATTTGCTCCATTTTTTCAGCGCAAAGCACCGCCCCTATAATGTTCGCTGTTGGAGTTACAATTAAAAATTTTCAAATTAACTCATGTCGAAAAACTGTAGCAAAAATTGAGGGAAAATTGGAAACGATTGCAACGAATAATGTTAATGAGCGCAACAAGGTTGAGCGTAGTACCAGGCGAAAAAGATGCGTGATATTTTAATTTGGTACATCGCAATTAAAAATCGTAAACGTGCACCATCTCTAACACGGGAGTTTATTTTTCTATACGGGAACAAAATAAGCGCGTAGAATACTGCACGTTGAATGTAAAACAGAGAAATTACGTGAAGAAATTTTTCAAAAAATAAAAAAATAAATAAGCATATATACAATGCTCTGTGTAACGAAAAAAAAATATAGCGATATTATAATAAACATATAACAGGAAATATTTCCAACAAATAATTAACATTCGATATATCAACTGTCATTTTGACAACAAACCCTATCGTAAAATATTTCTCGCAAATTATTAATCTCTTGCAAATATTTCCCAATCGATCATTTTCCTGGCATCTTATGTCTAGTGCTTATAATGATGAAAGTGAGAAAAAAGATAGAGAAAGTCTTACCTTCGAAAGATCCTTGGCGATCACAGGGCACATTTTCCTCGAATGCGATCGTCCGTGAATACAGTCCTTGCCACGTTCGAAGATCCGCTTGTCATTGTCGAGAACGACACTTGGCAGCTTCGTCACAGGATCATCACTGACGTATTAATCCTTTCCGATCACGAACACACACGACACGCACACACTCGCGTAAAAGAAACGAGAGTCGAGAGGAGAAGGAAAAAAGCAGACTCCTGCAACTTGTTGCGAATTTGGGAGCGCGCGACTTCAGATCACTATGACACTTGCAGCTTACGTGAAACGACAGTCTTCACACCGTTCGTGACGTATGTCGTCAGTTCTTTTTTTCTCTCTCTCGTCGTGTTCGAAAAAATGACGCGGTTATCCGCATCACCGCCGTCGTGAAGTTCCACGATACTGCGATGTACAAATGTTTTTCCACGACTCGAGTTTTCGAGGTGTGTCGCGGCACTCGCGAATTTTGCTCGATCGCACTCGTCCGAGTAACTCGCGTGGATAACTTCGGAATGATCGGTTAATACGCGCGACCAGTAATCGAGGGTGACTTTTTGCCCGGCAGCGGTCACGGGAGGGACACACGCGCGACGATTACACGATCAGCACTGAAGCGTCTGAAGCGATGCGCGGAGCGCGCCGAGTGGGGAACCGGGCGCGCGCCGGTCGCTCGCCCGAGCACGGCCGAAGATTGCCGAGGCGGGCCGAAGGCATTCGCGAAGTGTGGCCGGCGCGCGCGAACGGCTTCCGCGACGCATTCTTTTGATTAACGCGCTGACAACCGTACGAGCCTCTCCCCCCGTGCGATCTGCGAAGGAAGGAGGTAAATTTACAACGCAATGATAAATATACAATATTCGAAGCGGAGACGCCGAAAGTGAGAGAAGAGTGAGCGAGTCTCCTTTCTTTCGAATTCACGTAAACCATCTCTCGATCGCCATGTCATTGTGACGTCAGTGTACATGGCATATGTATGCGCGGTTAATGTCGCGTAAGTTATTCGATATTTGCCGGGTAATGTCGCGTAACTCGTTCGCGCGATATTGCGAAGGTAATATATATTTTTAACGTCTTTTACAGCAAGCGACCTTCTTTCGCGGTGAGGTTGACAACAGGCTCGCTCGACCACTCGACTACGAATTATCGACCTTCGATGACTTTGTCCTTCTAATGGCGGCCGACAAGACAACTTCACGCTTCAACCGGTAGGCATTTTCTTTCGATAGTAAATAATAAATTCATAACAAAGTTTGTAACTTGTAATACGGATATCGATAGTACAAGTTATATTGTGAACAAGAATATTAATATTTTCGAAAGCTTTTGCGTTACATGATAAACGTGTATTAACATTTTCATGAATATGTAATCCGTAAATCGACGAACACGAGAGTATATTCCGTCGAAAATTCTACCAGTATGAATCTTGCAATATATGATAATTATAATGCAAACATTTTTTAATTAATGTAACGTAAAAGATCACGCTGTAATAACAAAATGTACGATAACATTAATATTAATACTGATTGTAATAATAATATGTAGCCATGAGATTGACCTCATATTTGCATTTCTTTGCAGTTAAAATTAGGTTATAATGAATAAATAATCGTGAAGAAATATTATAATATATTTTACATAAATAGTTCTATATTTTATGTAAATAAATAGTTATACATTTTATATAAATAAATAATTAAATATATTTTTAGTATCTAATTTTTTATATTTTATTTTTTACAGAATTCGGTCAACTCTACTTGGAATCTCAGCAAATCGAAGTACACGGTGAGCTGCAATTGATAAATCAACTATGGTGAGTCATGAAAAATTATTATTAAAACTATACGAGAATTGCGAGATGTTCAACAAAATCTCTGTATAACTATTGATACAGTATAATCTCTTCGCAACAGTATCTTTGATACAAAATATCAAAGTGATGGCTATTAGTTTTTTCCCTGCAAAAATATTACAAAAACGTAGGAACTTTTTTTTAGAAGCTTTCGAGATTAACATTCTACGTTTACTTAAAGATATCTTAATAAACAGATAAGATATATCTGAATTTATGTCGTGGTTAGAAATATTTATCTAATGTGTTATATATATATTTTTCTTTTTTTTTATATTTCGTCCACATTTCTTTCATTTCAAAATTATTGTATATTAATAAGATAAAAATTTCTTTGTATAGAGAATTCCTACAATCAATATTTATTTGAGAAAATTAATTAAAAAAATATCTTATGTTTCGTAGCACATATAATGTTTTAATATATTTTATTTATACAATTATATGAATGAGATTAGTTGACATCTCACAATATCTCATTTAACACGTAAGACAATTTTCTCGCTGTAGAATATTTCTCGGGAAAGACAGAGGGAAAGGATTAGAGGACGAATTGCCTCGTATTTGTCAATTAGACGAGAGACCATTTTCGCGCGAAAGACAGGAATTAATCTTGACACAACGAAAGTGCGCACATCTACCATCTGTAGTTTATTAAATGGTGTTCCGTTTTCACCGAAAAATACGGGCGTTCAATACGATTCCGATTATGTAAAACATGGAAAATCCCAGCACGCCTGAAAGTAATTGGGGCATTTGCCTTAGGGATTTTTGGATCGAACGCATTATGCACTGTGTTCCATGCATTTTTTGCGAGTTACGAAGGCGTGGTGTGTGTGTGTTTTACGTGGCGTCGTTTTATTTCCGGGACGTGGCGTTCACTGTTTGCGGTCTTGTCGAATATCCGTGTTGAGTATGTTGAGAGAGCATGTACTTCTTCTCTCCCGCGAATTGTCGATATATACACAAACACGGAGGTGGAGCAGGGCAGAAAAAGAAGAGGGATGTATTCTCTGTATTCTCTCTTGGTGCACCCGCACCAAAATACGCATGCATTTTTATAAGCCGGCACAAGCGAATATACTGGTTACGCTTCTTGATCCGCATCTCAACGTAATGTTATGCTCACGATAAAAAGAAATCGTATAATACTAGTATAATAATTATTTATTCTTCATGCAGTAAACAAGTATGTTAGTGAAAAAAATCTCAGATATATCATAAAAATAAATCTAGAAAATTACGAATCGTTACAGAATAAAGTTAGTAAGAATCAATAGATAAAGCGAAGACAAGAATGTAAAAAGAAATCTAGCGTAACGTAGACAAAATATTTATTCGAAATATAGACGAAAGGAAACATTTCGATCTTTTTATTAAATCATTCTCAACTTTATTATAAGAGCATGAGATAAGGAATATTTGAAAAACTTGATATTATTACATAGATTTCTCTTTATATCTTTGTGTTTGTTTTCTATTGATTCTTATTAACTTTAATTCGTAACGATTCGTAATTTTCGAAAGTTATTTTTGATATATCCGAGATATTTTTTCACTAATTTATTTCTTTATAACATGAAGAATAAATAATTATATCGCAAAAACAAAATCATGCGCGAAAGTAACATGAAATTAAAAATCACAAAAGTCAAATTGCCAAATATCTATAATGCTAATATCTAATAACGGCTTTAATCGAATTATGACATTTTTTTGTTTATTGAATTGTATAAATAATTTTATCTTCATATGTCACGCATATATATGACACGCAACAAAGCAGGGATGTGATGGTTTAAAGCTTAAACAGAAAATTACACACTAGCTTTTCTAAGTTTACCTAGGCGATACATTCGTGATTTGCTTGTCTCGGTTAATGAGAGTACATGTTCCGGCTCGTCATAAGAATACTTGGCTATAATATCATATTGATAGAGATGATAATTACGATGATATTTTTAATAAAAAGTGTTTCTAAGCGTAATAACAAAGACGAAAATAGCACGTAAATAATCCGTAGACGCTGTAAAATATATCATTTTGCTATTTTCACTTTTAACCTTCAAATTATTGGAACTATTTTCATTTTCAACGTCACAAACAATAATTTTCTTTCTTCTGATTACGAATTTCTCTCTCTGTTTCTTCCTCGCCTTCACTGACATTAATCACACGAGGCAAGTTACCCACTTATTAAGCAGTGGCCCTATTGGGAGACCAATTATTCAAATATGATCGAATAAATACATAAGCAAACGAGGGACAGCTGAGCTGATCCAGAATGACGCTATATCGTTTGTATACATGTGAAAGGCACCGACGAATGAGTGGTCGTTATTCGTCGGGATCTTCTTGTCGTCGGCAATGCGAGCGTACCTTTTTCGTGCTGGATGCGCAATAATGTGTGGGGGGAAGAAGAGAGGGATTTCGTTTCAAAAGCGGCGCAAGAAATTACGAGTGCACGATCGCGGAGACCACCTAGAGTCCACGTTTTCTGTCATCATTCCACACATCCGCTGATAACCACGACGAATGTTCGCAATGACATTTTTTCTAATTATCTTAATATTTCAAATGACTGTCTCGAGGTAACGCACCGAACTGCATCGGCATGAATAAGATGTCACACATTGGAAAACGTTTTAAAATATTTTTAAATTATTTAGCGGATATTAAATCGCATCAACCGTTTAATCCTGCAAGGAAATTGTGGAATTTTTTCATGATATATATATATATATATAACGTACTTTCCATGATATGCGTCTTACTTTATATTTAATCCCTGAGATTGTATAAGCTTCTCTTCAGCTAAATCAACGTGAGAAAAATTTGTTTGATGTCTTGTATTAAATTTCTCCTCGTACTTAATATGTAACAGCAAATTGAAAAGAAAAAATTGACAAGGAAAAAACATGTATGGTTTATTATAAAACTACAATACAATATATACCATACAATATATTATTATGTTTGATATGTACGTTTAATATGCATCCTGATTTTGAATCATACCATCAAATTTTTCAATTTTGAGGTTATTTGATGAAAGTTAATATTTAGCGACGTAGTCAATTTTTGAATAATGAAAAATATCGATTATTACAGCTTTTTAATTTCGAACGATTTAAAATAAAAAGCTTTTTGAAAATTATCTTTGAAGAATACAAATAGATACGTTATATATATATTTTTTATTTAATTTTAAATAAGTCTAAAATTTACAAAAATTACAAATATTAATAAAATATTAATTTAAAATTTAATTATCACATATACATACACATATGAAATACAAAAATGATTGAAACGCGATATTTAATTTAAAATTAAATTTAATTGAAACTTGACATTAAAAGTTAAACTATTGCTGGTAAAAAAGCTTTTTTACATTTATTAACACATAAACAGATAATGTTTCTAATAAAGAGATCGTTGCGGATTAAATACTTTCACAACGTGATATGATAATAATATGACATGGTTATAATTTTGTAATTTTTTATCGCTGAATATAAAATGAAAAATCGAAAAAGGAGGAGGGATCTTAGTTAAATAAGATATCGATCTCAGGCATGCATCCCCGGCATGCATTCTCCTCCCCTTTCTCTGACCTGCAGCCGCTATTCCTTTCGTCGGGTTTCTCGGAATACATTTTGACAACATGCAGAGACTTAACCATGATATCCCGCGGCCTCGTCAGAGTTTACGAGAATGCATGTCATTGGCTC